CTGTACATAAGGAAAATAAGCCTAATCACTTGGTGTTTTACACTTTCCAAACCACTCAGCATTACTGACCTTAGATAATACAATGATTATACCGACCTCACCTATGTTGTTAACATTTGGAGACAACGTTTAAAACACATACACTGTCTATAGTTATTTTACATAAAAAGAGCAAAAGGAAAATATATCGAGATTCATCAAATCCTGTTTTTGAGTGCTTGGTGTTAAAATTGTATGTTATAGTGGCTTATACTATTTATCATACATTGTATAAGGTAATTGGAACACATTAGCAGAAAACATCTACGAAAACACCGCTCAGCATTACTGACCTTAGATACTACAATGATTATACCGACCTCACCTATGTTGTCAACATTTGGAGACAACGTTTAACACAGCCTATAGTTAAAAAAGACCAGAAGGAAAATATATCGAGATTCATTAATCCTGTTTTATCACTGTTGTCAACATTGGAGACAACGTTTAACACAGCTATAGTTAAAAAGACCAGAAGGAAATATATCGAGATTCATTAAATCCTGTTTTTGAGTGCTTGGTGTTAAAATTGTATGTTATAGTGGATTATACTATTTATCATACATTGTATACGGTAAGATGCAAAACATCTACGAGAACTTTGGAAAAAAAAAAGACAAAGTTGATACAATCTGTTAGTAACTGACATCTTTAATAAAAACTATATTCAGAACTAAATTCATGGGAAGAATGGTCTCAGTGGAAGGAATCAACTTAACAAAGACATTAAAGAGTCAAAATAAAAATCATGGTTTTTAAGAAACAACAAAACTACTATACTCAATAAATATGAGAGTGTTACATAATAAGAAAATCTGGATTTTAATTAATGGTTTGTGTTTTGGTAAAATGTTGTACATAATGTTTAATTACTGGTTTGTGTTTTGGTAAAATGTTGTACATAATGTTTAAGGTATGTAATATGGTTGTTTAATCAGTCTTTAAGATGACTATTTATGGTAACAAGTGTCAATTGTATATCTGAGAGATGTACGCCTTTAAATCATTTGATCTCGCGTAAAAGAAAACCTGTACCAAGGACCCTAGTTTCACATCTACCTACTCTGTTTCAAACTGTGTACATATATGTATATAGGGTTCTTATTTTTATTGTATTGGACAATTAAATTGATATAGAGACTACTACCTTATGAATAGGGTTAGGATTATAACGCATTAATTACGATTGATAAACGCCACAAAAATATATGTGTTTTTGCTCCACGGAACCTTTGTCATCAGGTGAGTTTCACACGGGTCGTTCATACTGGTGTACCAGTTGGAAAATAACAACTATCCCCCTATTGTTTTAGTGCAACACTCTGGGCCACATGATAAGGTTATCACACATACACACACACACACACACACACACACACCTAAGTGTCGCTCTTTCAGAGTTTGGATGCAGTACCTCTTGTTACAGAAAAAATAAAAAAACACCTATACAATACAATACAATTTAGTCTTGTATAGCCCTAAATCACAACTGTAGTCATCTCAGAGGACTTACCAAAAACTACTGAAAATCACCAACACAGATCGTAGAATCAGCAGTTAAAACACATAAAGACTATAGACCACTACATGTTGTAGAATATTAAAAGTGTCCTGGCTCATCACCACAGTCCTTCTAGTTTCTCAATAACTGTGTAACAAACCCATCCTGCATCAGCAATGAAAAACTCATATGAAAAAAAAAAAGTTTGAGAAAGGGATCTGGAAAAAATAAAAAAAACACCTATACAATACAATACAATTTAGTCTTGTATAGCCCTAAATCACAACTGTAGTCATCTCAGAGGACTTACCAAAAACTACTGAAAATCACCAACACAGATCGGAGAATCAGCAGTTAAAACACATAAAGACTATAGACCACTACATGTTGTAGAATATTAAAAGTGTCCTGGCTCATCACCACAGTCCTTCTAGTTTCTCAATAACTGTGTAACAAACCCATCCTGCATCAGCAAGGAAAAACTCATATGAAAAAAAAAAAGTTTGAGAAAGGGATCTGCGTCACTCTAGTGATTCTTTATAGTCCTCCCACCGCCTTCATCATGATTCGCCTACACTGTTTGTTCTACGTTGATAGGCCGGGGCAGGTCCATCCTACCACCCATTCTGATTTGTTGTTAGTACTCCCCTCCAAACCGTCATCATGATAAGGCTATCACACACATACACCTAAGTGTCGTTAACAGGTCCTCCCCAGCAGCTTAGCTATTCCTAACTGTTTTAGAATAAACCGTGATCATAAATCACTTTAGACAACTGTGAAGCATTTACTTTATCACACACACACAGGGTCAACTGAAGCTAACTCATTAAAACTCTTTGAAAAATACCGTGCAGTAACACCTTTCACCACTTGCTCAAGAGCGCCGTCCCCTTTCTGGGGAGTTTTTAGGGTGCAGTACCACCTTTTCACCACTTGCTCAATACTGGTGTCAATACTATCTACTAGCGAGATTTGAATGTATTTCATCCAATCAAAAAGCTGAGAGAGTGACTTGTCTAATACCAATACTTTCTCTCTCGCTTCACATTTGACCAAAGGACTAGCCTCCATTAGCATCATATACGTTGATATGTTTATACTTTTTATACTTTGTTTCTTTATTACGCTATAGTAGATATTGCTTTTTTAATACTCACCCATATTATTTTGTATTGTGTTCCTACTGTTCTGTGACTTGTGATACAACTTGACTTCAACCTCCTCATGGACCACTGGTGTAAATTAGCACTCCTACTATAACCCGGTGCAATGCGTGTCTACTTGTGCGGCACGGTGGCTCTGGGTTCAAATCCCGGTTGGAACAGAGCCTTTCTGAGTGGAGTTTGCATGTTCTCCCCTTGTCTGCGTAGGTTTCCTCCGGGTGCTCCGGTTTCTCCTACCACTAAAAACATGCACAATAGGTATGAATGTAAATGAGAGAGTGAATGGATGTTGTTGAACATTGTAAAGTGCTTTGGGTGACCTTGGTCTGTGAAATGCGCTATATAAATAAACATTCCTTTCTTACTTTTTAGCTGATGTTTATTGTACACTGTCCTTGTAATAATAACAATTGTACCGACCTAATTCTAATAGAGCAGCAGAAACACAGTACTCACATTTAAACACGCTGGAACTGGTTCAAGAAATCTGCAATCGTCGTGAATGAACATAAAATAAAACAGTTATTGAACGTCAGCCAAAATGTGTCCACTAATCTCGGCCATCTTCATTTCCAAAACCCACCGCAGTGACCTTTAGCCACGAACCATCTCAGTCGTATCAATACGCATCTGTGTGCGCCTCTTACCGCCGTTCCACAACCGGCTCTCTGACCTCGCAACAATCACCGCAGCTCTGTGTCCCAGCCTCCTTATCGCTGAAAGCATTGATTGTGTTTTCATCTTGTTAGAAAAAAAAGTTGAATTGAAAAAACACTTCAATTAACGGGGTCACTGATAACCACGCGTCAATCTGTTTCCCCTTCATTAGCTCGAACAACACGCTCCAATGTGCCGCCAGTGACGTCCTGAACTCCCGACGGATTATTCTATTCCTCTGCGCAGGTATATGGCAAACAATTAACCTTAGCAATAGCAGTGTTTATCTCGAAATTGCACTTTTTTTCTCTCTCCAGCATTATTGATTCAAGCAAACAATGTCGACAAGATTCCCAGAAGTCCCAGAAACGGCTCAGACTTAACAGTTCATTTGCAGCAACAGCAGACATCCTGTTGTTGGCCAGAGGTGTTTAACTATAACCAAGAAGGAAGAAAGCACCACTTGTTTCCACTGCGACATGAAGGCCGCTCACAAATCTGGCAAACTGGCTTGGTCATCAGAATCACACAATTAAGTCAAGTCTAATAATGTAACTTTTAAAGCTTAGACATTTTGTGTTGACAATAATATGTAAAATGTCCATAGAGACAAATCTATATACCCATTGTCATCATGGGGCTAAACCGTTCCTCTTTGGCAACCCAACTTTTACCCCCATAAATAATGAACTACATTTGTCCCAACAGAAAATGTTTTGTAAGTAAAATGTTGTGAACAAATCAGGCCTCGACATGCTACCTTCTTAGAAAACATATATTTTGCGTACTATAGGTCCTCTCTTTTTCACTTTTCGGTCTAAAAGATGATCTAGAACTAAACATGGAGAGGCTGCATTTCACATTCATGCAGCTACAATCTGGAATAGTCTCTCTGAAAATGTGAGACAGGCTTCTTCTCTTAATGTACTGGGATTATTTATGATTTTAATGCCTTGTGTGACTGTTTTGTTCAGCACTTTGAGTTGTGTGAATTGTGTTATACAAATAAACTTGCCTTGCCTTGCCATCTAGATACATACAGTATAGTATATGACACAGCAAAATGCATGCATGTGAAAACCAGTTATAGAACCAAACTGTTTTGAGTAAACTACTTGGATAGATTTTTTAACTTTTTTTTTTTTTTGTGGTTGGAGAGTGAGGCAACCCAGCTTTAAATTACATATTTTAATCAAGATATAAAAAAAAAAAAACATGTGATGAGTAGAAACTATGATGAATCAATATAGGGGGAGTGTCTTTTACCATTTAGTTGCGTCCTTGTTTTAAATATGGTATAATATTTTCCATGTTTCTGCGCCCACAGTTTAATGAGATGAGAAGAACCGTTAAAATACAAGAACAAAAAGTCCTTAACATAACAATTATTTTTCATAAACGCACAACCTCCTTGAGAGCAATTTCATCTCTTGTCATTGCAGCAATATTTCGATGGTCAAATGTAGGTCAGCAGAAACGAAGGACACTTAAAGCATTCTCAGAAAACCTCCAAATGGGAATATGATCCGTTTAGTATCCGACTTGAGCCAAACCTAAAGCAGGGGAGGCCAATTCAAAAAGACAGCGGTGAAACACAAGCAGTAGAAACCCGTCCCACATCTCGCCAGCAGGGCCATATGGAAGTTATTACTTAAGAGGTAAAACAGCCTTTTGGCATTTTTGGAATAACACACAATATTACGGGAAAATCCATTTGAGGGGAGTCAGCTGAGCGGCAAAGTGAAGGATTTTTACACAGTCAGCACTGCTCAAAATTAGAAGAAAGCCCATAATAGTATTTTAGTATCAAGTTGCAATGCCGTTTTCATATATTGACAGTGACAGCTCCAAACTTTTAGTCATTTTGCGCTTGTCGATGTTGGGAAGTGGGTGGAGAAAATCAAAACACATTACAACCTCCTCTTCTAAAAGCACTAAGTAAACCAATAAATATGATTTTTGACGGATATTTCCAAAAATCTTAATCTGGTTGTGAATTTTGAGTTATAAATTGGTGTGGTTTTGTGTTGCAGGTTTGGGACACTGAACTGGAACGCACAGCAGAGGAGTGGGCCGAGACGTGTCTTTGGGAACATGGCCCCGCTGGTCTACTGCCTCAGATTGGACAGAACCTGGGCGCTCACTGGGGAAGGTTATTATGGAAAATTATTAATATATTTTTATTTATTTTTTAAATTCATTTATTTGATATGGACACAACAGTTACATTGGGCAGACCAGAGGCACTCCCTTTAGAGTTATAGCAAGACCATGCTAAATTTCAACACTTGTCCATAGGAGGCTTTTAGAACATAAATACACACATTTAGAATTTACAAATATAAAAATAATTAAATGTATAATTCATTAAACATGTGAACAACCTTGCTCCGATTTCAGCCATAGTTTCAGACGTCTGAGGAAGATGTTTTAGTCTGTTAGTCTTTTTTATTGATCATCAGAGGTGTCCTAATATAAAATGTTTCATGTTTTATAATAATGAAAGGGGAAATATCTTGATTTGACACTGCTTTTACATACTGTATATGGACAGAGAATATGGACTGTTTTTCCCAATAACCTCTCAGACCGCTCTCGTCTCAGATCATCCCATCGAGCCCAGCGTGCTTTCAATGGTGTCTTGTAACTTAACCTTAGCGTCCAAGCTAATACGATTTCCCTGGACTTAAACACGTCTGCTCGTCTTTTCTCAGTTGTAATTGCTTTATGTGGTTATATGAAGAAAACCTCAGATTACAAATGGTCCCGACTCCTGCCCAGTTGTGCGTACACAATTTGGGTCAACTGGATTGTGGCACCTCAAATCAATATTCCTATGCGTTTCTGCTCAATCGATTTTAATTGGACTAGGCCGACTTTCTGATTCCCACTGCTCCCATGTAAACGCACCCAAATCAAACTTTATAAAAATGATCAAATTATGTATGCATTTAGCTGTTTTGGATTTTAGTTATTTTATTTAGCGGTAGTGACTTTACAATCCTTATATCTTATTGTATTGACAGGATTACAGAGTTAGTCTTTGAGGGTTCAAATGTCATTGTATAAATACCGATTTGCATGATTATTATTATTTTGTTTAAAATGATGCAAGCCAAATGTCTATCCCAATGTACCAAATAGAGTTCAAACTAAGAGGATAAGAATTCTAATTCGTGATTGATTTTTTTTATGTGGAAATCTGAAGGAAATCATTACTATATCAAGGATTTTGATTATTATCTTTCTTCTTATGTGCAGATATCAGCCTCCTACGTTCCATGTGCAGGCGTGGTATGATGAAGTGAAGGACTACTCTTACCCCTATCCCCAAGAGTGTAACCCCTACTGCCCCTTCAGGTGCTCCGGGGCAGTCTGCACACACTACACACAGGTAGTTTGACTGAAATGCTCCAACATTTCACCTCGATACAGCATTTTTCACAAACTCTTTACTGAAAATCTTTGCTTACCGGCAGCTCGTGTGGGCCACCAGCAGCCGGGTGGGTTGTGCTATCAACATGTGTTACAATATGAATGTCTGGGGGCAGATTTGGGCCAAGGCTGTCTATCTGGTCTGCAACTACTCCCCAAAGTAAGTGTAAATGTATTGATGAATGTGTGACGGAGTAAATCAAGTGTCTAATTATGTACTTTTTCATCGTGCATAACTATATGAGTGTGTTCACAGTTAAGTGTCAATTGAAGTATCTCGACTTTAAAAGGTTATAACTTAAAAACTAAAATTACTATCATAGATTGGAAAAAAAGATTTCAAACACAGACACATCAAAGAGATAGTGTGGAAAAAATCAAAAGGAAAGATTGTCAAATATATTTTTGGTGACATTTTAAACGACAAAATCAGCCTCTTTTTTGACCATTCTACTGTGACGCCAGTTACATAGAAAATAAAATGTCCTCAGTCTGAAAAAGCGGCAGATGAAATCCCATAATATTTACATGGTTAACACAACATCAGGAAATCACTTGATATGAAAAGGAATCGTTAAAAAATAAAAAATAATTAATTAATTAAATGACCCCTGAAAAATGTATAACGGACGTGATGGTTTCCGTCCTCTTTTCTCTAAAATTTTAACTTGAGAAAGAAACAAATCTTGTCTGGTTTCACATTTAATTGGTTGACTAAATGAAAGTATCACTTTGTTTCTACTCTGTGTAAAAAAAATAGAATCTCTGAATCAAATGTGGACATCTGTAAATACCTATCAAACTTCCGCAAAGCTCATTCCGTCAAATCATCACGTCCGTTAGATAAAATAAACAGGGCCGCTATAGGAAACTTGTCTATTGTATAAAACAGTTATGTTCTAGCAACTTCTAATGAACAGAGGAGGTGCTTGGAAACATGAAAAACATAAAATATCTTCTGATTATTAAAATCAAATTTTTGGCCTTTTGTCACACTTTTGTGCCCTTTAGTGTGAACAAGCCCATATCCTGCACAGACTATATTTTTTACCTTAACATGTTTGCACGCTTCTGTCCTTTGCAAAATCTGAGTGTAAATTAATCCAATATCTTATCTTATCTTATCCCTAGAGGAGGATTTTCTACTTCTGGGCGGATCGTCAAGACTATTGGTCCTCCTAATTGTCAATCATTCTGGTGATACGTGCTCGTCAAATAAGACCAGACCAATTCTTTCCTAAAAAAAAAAAAGGAAAAATCCTCCTATATACAGTACATTTTAAAGTGTTCAAGTTTGAAGTGATAAAAGGCTGTTATTCCTCCAAAATGAAGGAGGCAGCAAAGGAGGCCAAAATCTGGAACAGTCTTCCTGAAAATGTGAGACAGGCTTCTTCTCTGGTTCAAATCCAGGTTAAAGACGGTTCTGTTTGCCTGTGCACACAACTGAAGGATTCGATGCATTGATATTTATTATTTTAATCCCTAGTGTCAAGTTAACGGTTTTAATGTGTGATTTTAATTGTGTTTTTAATGGTGATTTTGGTACTTGATTTTTGTGAGGGTTTGTGTCTTGTGTGATGTGGACTGTGGAGCTCTTTGTGTTGCCTTTTGTTGGAAAAGCGCCATATACTGTAGATAAAGATTGATGGATTGAGAATGTGATGTAATGTTGTGTCTGGTTTGTGATTTCAGGGGGAACTGGTGGGGTCATGCTCCGTACAAACATGGAAGCCCGTGTTCGGCCTGTCCTCCCAGTTACGGTGGTGGGTGCAAGGACAACCAGTGTTACAAAGGTACGCAATCAAAACAACTCAAGGTCAGACTAGTATTTGTGAAAACGGACCAGATTTAAACTCTTAGATGTTTTAATTTGTCCTCTCAGCCACTTGAACATGTGGTTGCAACAACAAGCAGACCCTTCACGCTTCTTAAAAGGAACATAGAAAAAGTGATTATTACCCTTTAAACTGATTTATTATGTTTTGCAATCTCAGGTGGATATATACACCTTATAGTTTGCAAAATGACCCGCCCAATCTTGCATTTATGTTTGAATACTCTTTAGCTGACATTTTTTGTCAGCTTGTTTTCTTGTCTTTGTCAACACTTTTTTAATGGGTGATGCACTAATTACATAACTTCAGATACTACACTAGATAGAATAACCTCCACTATGGCGACCCTGCTCCTGTCTCTGTGTGGAGTCAGAGGACAAAAGCACCAAACAATTGTAAAACGCTTCGTGACACTGTCCGTGAAAGGTGTTGTATAAGTAAAGATCACTTACTTACTTACCTATTTACTAATTATAGAGTGTGATGCATAGGGATCAATAAAGTTAATCTTATCTTAGACATTTTGGCACTAATGAAAGACATCCACTGCATGTTTAGTTATGTTTGCCTGTAAAATAGGATAAGATTAAGATAAGATAACTTTATTGATTATGAAGAAAATTACAGTGGTGCCGGCTGCTCTCATTTACACAGTCACAGGCACATAATAAATAAGTCGCTAAAATATATTAGAAACCTGCTTGCAATTGTTGCTGTTTACAATGACCACCACTGCTGTTTTCAGATCGGAAGTCTGTGGACTCATTAGAGCTTATTCAAACAGATCCAAGGTTATAATCATGTTTCCCCCTTAATTGGGGAATTGAGTTGTGAAAAAAATAACCATTGGCCTTGCACCAGTCGGTCACTTAAACCTGTGATATTGTTTTCAGACGACAGCTACAACCCTTACCAAGAGGAAACAGAAGAAACCAACTTCATTGAACCTGAGGCCCCTCGAGCTCGTCCACGCGCCCCCAAACCAGACCCCCCCAGTGCCCCCGCCCCGCCTCCCACACGGCCCCCTACAGAGGTCCTGCACAGGAATGAGGTGGTCAACACGCAGCAGATGTGTAAGCTGCCATTTAACTGTTTATTCTGGCTCTCGTTACAGCAGGACGGGGATCTGCTTTTAGCTCTGGGAGGGTCACAGTGGTAAAAACCAGTGGAAGGACAAGTTTAAGAGAATTGTTGTTACTATGTAGGTCAAACCTGCAGAGCTGGAAGAGAACTGACGAACAATAGAAGCGCATGGTTTATCAATAAGTGAACAGTCACCCTCTGAGAAGAAGACAGTCAAAAATCTAGATTCAGAAAGCCAGCAAAAATAGTCAAGATCTGAAGTAGAAAGTTACAAAATCCCAACCTGCCTGCAAGGTTTGGACAGGGGTAAAAAAAAATACAGTCTGAGTAAAAGTAATTAAGGTTGACAGATATCAGTTATAGTTAATTTTTCTCTGCGTTTTGGCCCAGGCTGTGTGTTTGCTCGTGGCTGGCAGTAGAAAGTAGTTTGCTGTGGTTTTTAAATGGCTTCCTCTCACTGCACATGGGGCCGCGTCTGTAAACCGAGAGGCTTCCTTCAATACTGCTGACCGACGCTTTGTAGCCCGGATTCAAAACATGGCTTTGTCTTGGTCCGAGGGGCTGCGATTGTTTACGTTTCTCTTTTTGTGTGTTTTGCAGCTCAGCTCGTCTCCTGTGACACAAGGTTGAGAGACCAGTGTAAAGGCACGACATGCAACAGGTAAAAAGAACAGGAGATAGAGAAAGTGTTATGACGTCCACGTAGAAATATTTATGCCAAAAAGTCAGAGTTTTGGAGCGCCATGCATTTACAACAACAGTGGATTGCAAAAATACTAATGCAACTTTGGCTTGTGCATAGTCCAGACCGCAATAAAGTGAAAACAATTGCTTTTATAATTTTCTTGATGACTGGTCAAATGTCAATCTATCAAGTACAATAAAATACAGTATGAACTTTTCTGCTGGGAAATCTGTTGAACTCAAATTTTAATTGTTAGTATTTTTCTACTGTAATCTGCCGTGGACTGAATAGACCGACCCACAGTGTGATTGTAGAGTCTGTATATGAACTGCTCTGGTATGAGGCTTTGAGATCAATAAAGCATTTGGAATCTGAATAATTATATTGAGATTCGGGAAAAAAAAAGGTTTACTGCAAGCCCCACTTAGCATTTTTTATTCTCATGAACAGAACCATACATTTTTCTTTCACTTCACAGTTGTCTGTTTATTATCTGTCAAGAAAAACCCCAAAATAGTTTCTTAAACATACTCACAATTGTTGTAAACATGACAAAATCCAATCCTCTTTATTTATATCTGTAGAGCACATTTCATAAATGTATGTGCAGCACAGAACAATGAAAACTATAGTAATAAAGATTAGTTTTAGATGTCTAAAGTCTGAAAATACCAAGAAAATATATGAAATAAATAAGGATAAATTAATATGAATTAGAAAACTAAGATAATACAATTCATAAAAACATAAAATAATCATATGTACAGCAAAAAACAACTCATTCTGCAAAAGTTGAAGTTGTATTTTCACTTTTGAACTCCACTGTTTTTGTGTTCGCCATGTCATCGTCTCAGATCCTCTTTTAGTCACCACTGCGGCATGGTTGGCTGAGTGGTAAGCACTCTTGCTTCTCAGCAATAAGGTCCTGGGTTCAAATCCTGGTCGGAAGAGGGCCTTTAGAGTGGAGTTTGCTTGTTCTCCCTGTGTCTGCGTAGGTTTCCTCCGGGTGCTCCGGTTTGCCATACCGCTAAAGACATGTACAATAGGCCTGTCTGGCAACCCCGCTCCCATCTCTGTGTGGAGTGAGAGGACAAATGCCCACAAATGTAAACCTCTCTGTGACTCTGGTCTGTGAAAGGCAGTATATAAATAAATAATACTTACTTACTTACTACAATCACTGTGCTGTTATGAGTGATTGTGAGCAGTCATTTTACTGCTGCTTTTCTTTTGTCCAGATATGAATGTCCAGCTGGCTGCTTGGACGGCACTGGGAAAGTGGTGGGCACGGTGTACTATGAAATGGTGAGTGAGCTAATCCATCGTGGCTCAAGTGAGACTGTTTTGGTCAATACAGCACCATTATCGGCTGTGAGAGAGATCAAACAGCCTTGACCAAACCTTTTAAAAGCTGCTGCTCTCCACCAGATCAACCCCGGGTGCTAATGTTGTCCATGTTGTGATTTTTCAGCAATCCAGTGTCTGCAGAGCGGGCCTACACGCTGGTGTCATAGATAATGATGGGGGATGGATTGACGTGAGCAGACAAGGAAGGAAAGACTATTTTATCAAATCCTTCAAGAATGGGGTGCAATCATTAGGGTGAGGAAACATAAAAGGCTGCTGTTTATCTAGATGTATGTATTTTGTAACATGTGTGTAACATGTCTGTGTGTTATAGGAAGTACCAAAGTGCCAATTCATTCACTGTATCCAAAGTGACAGGTACAAAACTGATACTAAAGCAGATAAAATGATTGAAATCACTAAATAATTGACAAATAATGTTTTCTTTTGGATCTATCCTCACAGTCCAAGCCATTACATGTGAAACAACAGTTGCAGTGCTCTGTCCATATGAGAAACCGGCAAGGCACTGCCCAAGGTAAGTCAACAAAGTAGCAGAATTTCTTGATGTCATGTGGTGAAATGAAGAATATCCAGGAATGCAAAAATAATAATGATTTAATGATGATAAATAAAAGTCCAAGATGAAAAAACAAACTCAAAAAATCCAAATGGAACCAAGAACAGACAAAGGCAAGCAAAGACATTGACATTGAACCAGCAACAAAGGGAGAGGAGCACAGGGTACATATAGACACCACAGAGAAATTAAGTCAAAATAAAACCAAGAACAAAATAACATGAATAAAATGATTGATTCTAGTACGCAGGGCTATACTTTTTGTCTGTTTCACATTTTTTGAATAATCCCTGACGCCTAAAGGGTTGCCCTAGAATTTGTGCAAATAGAAAATTAATTTGTCCTTTCAGTTATGCATGAACTAAACTTTATTAAAGCATTATCTCTTCATAACATAGTAGCTTCTCATATGTTCACTGCTGTATTGTGTGATTGTGATTGTTTGGCTGCTTTCTCCAATGGGGGAATATTAAAGTATTTTTCTCTCCGTAGATTATACTGCCCAAGAAACTGTTTGGAAGAGAGCGCGCACATATCCAGAGTGATAGGAACGAGGATATACTCTGATGTAAGTCTCGATCATTGTTACTCCGCTCTCTGCTGTGGATGGATTCTCTGACCGCTGTCCCGCTCTATCCTGCAGAGGTCCAGTATTTGCCGATCTGCGGTTCACGCGGGAGTCCTGCGCAACGACGCGGGCGGCTACATCGACGTGATGCCCGTGGATAAGAGGAAACACTACGTCGCCTCGTATCAAAACGGAATCTCCTCAGAAAGGTACGGCACGGCAGGAAATTGCAAACATCTATGACAAAGAAAGCAATACATGTTTGTGCAGTATGCGCCAAGGTACTGTCATGCAAACATATTTATCTATTTATTTAGTTGACAAGAGGCAGAGTGACAGTAGGTTTGCAAAGAATTGATAAAAATTATTTAACAATAATAATAATTTAGTTTTCTTAGTAGATACAGTTATTTGGTTCTTCTATACCAGACAATTGCTATCTTACAACTGACAAAAAAAAAACAATGGACACACACCATGTACACAAAGCTGAACCAATAATCAGATCAGGCATTATAAAAAGACATGTCTATAAAAGTGGGTTTTTAATTAAGTGATTTAAACATGATACTGATAGTGCTAGCCTTATCTCCGCTGGGAGGTCGTTTCACATTTTGTCCGGCGCCTCGACCCTGGAAAAAAATAACAGGGACCTGCCTGCAGATATAATACATAAAATGTGTCTAATTGGCATTTAAAAAACGGATAAAATGACCGTAACCACAAAGAGACGCTAAATATACCACACATAATCATTTACAACATGCCTAATGACTGCACACCTGATTATCTTTGAACCAGGTCTTGAGGCGGAATTGAAACTGTCCCACTGACCTGTCCTCCATCTTTGGATGGAATCAGAACAAAAAATAAAATGTTCTGTCCAAAGGTGATGGACCTAAAGTTTATGTAGCAGGCTCCTCTCGATGTGACAAGTTCTATTAAGAGGTGAATATTCTGAGGCAAAGCAGAGTTTAGAAATCAATGGCTCTCAGGCCGACTTAGATTTATCCACTCTGGGCTATTCCTTGTGGAACTAATCTTTTCAAGATGCAAACAGTTGATTACAGCTTTGATGGTGTTCACATGGAAGAGTGCTTCTCGTCTAAAACAATTAATCAGATGGCAATTAGAGCTGGAAAAAAGAAAAGCAGCTCTCTGTGTTGCAGGGATGAAGAAAGTCCAAGTCAGACAAAGATGTAAATATATTGTTTTTAAGGAGTTTGTTTGCAAAGAAAGTGAGAGAAAATGCCAAATGGGTTTATACGCTGTTAGATTTGTGCGCTTTTGTGTTCTTTTTCTGTTGTATAGGCTGGAATTTTAGGGAGATAACAGATGAAATAGGTTTAAAATAGTGGGAAGAAGAAAGTTACATAAAAAAACACAATTTCAAAACACAATCCCTTGTTTTTTGTCTCTAAAATTTGAATAAAAATGTTATATAATGTTGTGGAGTCAGAGCAAGGATAACGTTGGCCCTAAGCATGTAGTTTGTTGGATTGAAGAAAGCAATCTGCAGTGTAGTATTATAGTACCATCTGCTCTGTGATGTCACATGTCTGACCTGGTCCCATTCATACTGTATAGTGTTGTCTAACTAACCTTTCTACCATTCTCTCACCTCTCTTTGCTTTTCTCATTATTATATTAGATGTTAGTTGGTTGGACAAGTCTAGAGTTTCCGATGGACAGTTGCAGTGACAGTATATGAATTATTTGTGGTTTTGGCTTTAAACCTTAAGAATGCGATTTGTTTATAGCTTCATTTTGTACACTTAAGATGGAGACCCTGCAAAAACACATGCTCACACACACAAAAGTCATCAAATTTGGCTACAAATATGGACATTGGCAGAGAAAATTATTGCAGTAGCCTGTAAAGCTATACACGAATTTCAGTGGATCTGGACAGGGACGGTAAACAAGTTTCTAATTTGCGGCTGAGGTTGGGCTGATCCAATCATAACAGTCGCGTTACGCCAATTTCTACAATGTTCGGTTGTGGTTTTTGTTGTCCCAAACCAATGATTGAATGAAGACGTTTTCATTCCAAAAGATTTCATCACACAATCAACAAAAGTCCTTCACCTGAATAAGCGCCATACCCATCGCCATGTTTGCTATTTGATCACAACTTCTTTCTCAATACACAACTGTCGGCATGTCCGCTGTTTCCTGATTGGTTTATTTCTCTATCAATCCATGAGCGTTAGACCCGCCTGTTTAAAATGCCTCCATGGCTGCATGCCCAGACCGACTTCTCTGTCTGGAACAGAAAGGGAGTTTTCTGGCTTGTTAGGCTATAGAAGCAGTAGAGGGTTGAGTTCTTGGGCTTATAATGATTTAGATTTTAGCTGTTAATGTAATGCAGCTTAATCCCACTGTGTATTTCCTCAGCGGAATGAAGCAGTTCCAATATTATCGTTTATCGTCTTCAGTATCTGCTATCGTGACAGGCATACCTCTTTCATGTTCTCCTTCCCTGTCTTTATCCCGCCATCTCTCCTCGCCTCATTCATCTCTGTCAGCTTCCATGACGTCCTCCGCTATCTGCCTGTCATTTATCTGTCCCTGGCTTTCACGCCACACAACGCGCCGCTCTTTGACAAAAAAAAAAAACCGCAAAGTCTCCCGTGTTTTGGCTCTTTTCACCCCGGCCCATCTCCTGCTATCCCTCCGTCAACTCGTCCATTGTACACGGCCTGGTTTTCTTTTTTGACTGACTTTTCTCTTTTTCTTTCCGGCCCTTTGCAGTCTGCACAATCCTCCGGGGGGAAAGGCGTTCCGTTTGTTCGCCGTCATCTGAGTGAACTCCGCCAGACGTTAAGGCAACAGTGTACGCACCGGTGAATAGGTGCTAATGAGCGGCTTTGTCAAAACTTCAAAATGGCTGAAATGTTGCTCGGATTCCCGCACTCTCAAAGGTCGGCCGGTCTTCACCCTGGCAACAGCATGACAACCAAAACACACTTGGGAATATGTCATCTGTAACAGGACAGATTTGTACTGTAAATATACTTTTTCTATAAATCGGCTCCTGAAATGTGTTGTACATAATTGTCAATGGTGCTTTGTTTGTTTTCTCTTTCATCCAAATATATATGTGTATGGCAGAAGTCTTATATTGATAATGGCACTTAGAGATTCATATCATCTGGCACATTTTTACTGGTGCTCTTGAATTACTTTTTCTTTTTACTGAGTCAAAATAAATGCTTTATTTTTATATGTTTTACAGGATTTATAAAAGATGCTGCTATATGTTTTATATGTGTAATCTCAGTAGTGTTGGTCTGGTTTAGTAAGCTCCCTGCGGGCCGGGAAGTAAGCGCTCACACCAAAAATATCCCAATGTATTTTTTAAATTGTGTGCTATAAATAGTTTTATCAGTGTGACCTGACTGAAAGAGTAATGTTGATGGTGAAGCTAATAAAGTATATCATTTTATATGTTGTCTATCTATTCTTTCAAAATGCATGTTCATGAATAATGTGAATACAGCCACTCGCTTCTTTCTGTGTCAGTTAGAACGCCATGGTAACGGATTTATTTGGACAACTCTGCTTTACGGTTTATTGACCCAAGTTTGTCACGTAGGCCACTGGCAGGAGAGGTCCTTACTTCACATGGAAAGAATATAACAGCTGTTTGAATGCATGTATTAGTACTTTTATATAAGACTAATTATATCTAAATCACCAAACCAGGCAAAATATGATCCAATACAGCATGTTGGGGTACTTTCACAATACAAACAGTTTTAGAAGCACATTTTACAGACCAAGGTCACCCAAAGCGCTTTACAATGTTCAGAGTTCAGATATTGTTCCATTCTCTCCACACACGGTGATGATGGAAACGAAACGGCGAACACACTGGTGCATCAAAGCCCCAAACCAACACCATCCATTCACTCACTCATTCATTAATAATGATAATAATAATAATAATAATAATAATAATACATCTTTATTTCCGACTCAAGGTCCATACAAAAGACTGTACAAGGACACCACAAGACATAGACAAATACAGATCCTAGAACTGAGATATGCAGCGTGTTTGTAAATGTTAACATTCACCAATACTACATCTACTTAATCAGACTCGTTCTGCGGTGTGGTGAAGTGAAGGAAGACCCAAAAAGCGGGAATGCAAAAATACGGGTTTTATAAAAGTCCAAGGTAAAAACAAAACACAAAAATCCAGGAACAAAACAGACATGAACAGACATAGATAGTGGACCAGCAACAACAGACATACTGTAGGTGAAACACAGGGCGGGGCAGACAGGGGGACCCACACAAGTCAAAATAAAACTAAAAGAAAATAACAAAATCCTCACCGTGACACTTTTAACCAGCAAATAAACCTGAACATTGCATTTTGCAGAACAGATCATTATTTTCATACATTACATTCATACCTATTTTTATTATGTATGCAATTTTTTTTCAAACTTCCAAATATATAAAATGACGGACCACGCAGGGCACATCTGACACATTTCCTAATAGTTCTTATTAAATGTGACACTCGGCATAAACCTATACTGCTGATGAGTCATTTCCCATTTTCTCTCAAACGCCGGATAAGCCCAAGAAGTAGAGATCAAAGCGGCAGAGGGGGGTCTGTGGGGGGCGGATCAGCTCCCCGTGTGGACCCCCTTCAGACCTGGTATATTCACGGCTCACCCTTTGCCCCACATCCAAACCTATTATTCATTTATAGCATTTGATTTTCGTGCCGCTTTTAAAGACGAGTGTTCGCTGCTCATTTGCCGCTGCTGCTGCTGCTGCTGAAATGGACAATCTATATTCAGTCCTAAATGACGTCTGCACACGACTAAAACTCATTTATGTCTGGCACTTGCTTTTCTCTAAGGAAGGGATGGATTTGTATGAAAATGATCAACCTAATGGATAACACCGACCTGAAATCTAAAGGTTGGCACAAATAGACTTCATAAATCCATTTTCTGGGCGTCCACAGAACAGTGGGTTAAACAGGACAGTTCAACATTACTTGGTGAAAGCAAAGGAAGGTTTCTCACTCATCTGTGCTTCTTAGCGACTGAGAGCTTACACAAACTTTTTACTTGAGGTGAAAATTTCCAGATTGAGAGTATTTTGGGTGCTGCAGTGGTTAGCGCTTGTGCTTCTAAAAATAACAATTATAATGCATCGGTTTTATTAAGCGCTTTTTTGGACACTCAAAGATGTCATTATCACCACCGTGTCTGGAGTGAATGAATAAACTACCACTGTAGCCACAGCTGCCCTGTCGCACACTGACAGAAGCGAGGCAACCAGTCTGTGCCATCGACCCCTCCGACCACCACCAACCATTCACACACACACATACACACAAACCAGACTCATTCTGGGCAATGTGGGGGTTGTGTCTTGCCCAAGGACACAACGACAGCAGACATCAGTGGGATCTTGTAGTGGGCTCGAACCCACAACCTTCAGGCTCAAAGGCCAATGCTCTATAACAACTGAGCTACTGCCTGAAGAGGGTCCTGGGTTTGATTCCACCTACAGACAGGGCCTTTCTGCGTTTGCATGTTCTCCCTGTGTCTGGGTAGGTTTTCTCCCGAGTACTCTTGGTTCCCCTACCTCTGGAAACATGTACAATAGTTCAGGGTAAATGAGTGTGACTGTGGGCAGAGTGGGGTTAAGTGTCTTGCCCAAGGCAGGCACAACAACAGCAGACATCAGACGGAGTTGGAGAAGCTCTCATGGTGGGCTCAAACCCATCACCTTCAGGCTCAAAGGCCAATGCTCTATCAATGGCGCCACTGTCGCCCCCCAAACCAGATAAACAATACATACAGTAAATAGAAAAAATACAAATCATCAATGTGTAAACAATTCTCTTCTCTAATGATTATTAAATATGCCAGCAGGTGGAGTGACTCCCCACTGACTGTTGCAGCAGAAACAGCTTATTTCTCAGAACAATGGGGTGGATACTGTACGTGACAAACTCCGATTCTTCCAGACGGACAGCAGTAAAACACCCTTTAAACATATTCGATAAATCTGCGTGTTTAAGTGATGGAAAATACAGACATTACACTGAAGCCAGGAGCGACTGGCAGAGTGCTGCAGAGAATTTGTCCATACTGTGATTGATAGGTCGTCTATGAGCACCAGGACGTCCGAGAGGAGAGACACATACATCAGACGCATGTCAAAACTCACGACGAGATGCGAGGAGGGGCAAATGAAAGGCGAGCGAAGAGTGGGAAAAGGAAACTGCAAGATCACTTGGACACGTCCCATTAACGCCCACCGTATGCAGTCATATTGGCGGCCATTGTTGCAAAAAGAAGCAGGAATTGGGATTTTAAAAGAAAAATGTGGCATTACCTGTGGTTGTCGAATCCCAGAAGATAAGCAGGGCAGTGCCTGGTTCATATTGTGATGGGAGACACTGAGGAACAGCAGGTGCCATAGTGGGGGTATAGCTGAGGCTGCAGTATTAACTTCTGTTGTGTCCTCAGGCAACACATGTGACCAACATTGCTTAATATGAGTCTGGTGTGTGCATGATGGTGATTGGAAGTGATGGCCCAGATTGGAAGCCTTGTTTCGGTTAGTCTACCCCAGGGCTGCTGTGGCTACAGTAGAAGTGTCCCTTCAAGATTGAATGTCAGAAAAAACGCTTCTGAAACTAATGTATTATCATTATCTTTAAATAGGAATATCTAAACTCACATGAAAAAGATGAATGTATATTTATGCATTCATGCTTTTGATCAAGTTCTGGATTTTCTCTTCTTATTTTGTTATGTCCTCTACAACTGTCCAGATTAACCAAGTCTGTTTCCAAAAAAAGAATAGATCAAAAGAGACATGGACACAATGTTGGTTGCATGATGGACTTGTAGCCAGGAAAGATTGTGAGACGACTCTTATTTTTTTTCTTTTCTCTCTAAAAATAGTACAATAAGATCTCAGGAGCCCACCCTTGCATTGTTTTGATATTGTCACATTTTGATACAACGTTAAACTTGAAAATCAGTTATTGTCCCATCCCTCCACGCTCCCGTTGAATATGAGTTTTTTTCTTCCTGTCAGTGGATGTTGATGGATGAGCGTGTGTTCTCACAGTGAACTTGTGGACAGGGAAAGCTGCTTTATAGTCAGAGTAGAGCTACAGGCCGGGCCCATTAGGACTGGAGCAGCTGGACCAAAGACCCTGCACTGTCTTTGTGGTGCCACCCGTGTTTGAGTCTGTCTTTTGAAATAAGAAAGGCCATTAATAACCGCCTCACCTTGTTCCTGCTCAGCTGTAGTCGTCTGGCGCTGCTAAATGTGGCGTAGAGGAGAGAGACTGGCGGGCTGTGACATCGAGGATCTATCTGCAGAGAGGCACAGGTGGAGCTGCATTCGTGATGTCATTATTCTGATCATTTCAAGATGCATTACCTACACGCTTATTTAGAAATACTTGATAGGTTGGATTAATGTTCATTTATTTCATTTTTTTCAAACATGAAAACAAAAATACAATGTCCGCTTGGTTTGAGCTTAGTCCGAATGGTTTTCTATTTCAGTTGGAGCGCAGGTGTCAGTACGTCTCCATGGGGGGAGAAGCAGTTTTAAAACACATGTTGAAAAAAATAAAAAATCCAAATATTTTCCCAGACCATTATTTGATTGTGATTAGATTCAGAAACCCGACGTATTCGTCTTTTATCTGGAGGTCCTTTCTACTGGCCAACATCATGCCTGCGATTTTGAATAATGTCCCCACTTCAACTCAATTCAATTTATGTTCGTATTGCCCTAAAT